TTCCTGCTTTCTCGTCCCAGACTAACACCTTCTCTTCAATATTACCCAACTCAGATCTGATCCCATGATGGCAGGATACTTTTAACAAGGTTAGGGCAGAAGCTATTGTGTGAACTCTGAGCTAGACTCTGTCTGGACCAAACTGACAGAACCTACTTTTTTGCTTTCAGAGCCTTAGTATACACACAGCCATCCTCACTTCCCAGAATCATAACCCAACCCACTACAACCTACCATCTACCTAAAGTATTTTAGATACTTAAAATAATTCCACAGTCAGTAGTCAAAGGAAGGGGTATTTAATCCAAATATAGGCATTTGATTTTTGTTTAACTGCATACTTGGGAACAGCATTTCCCAAAGTGTTTTCAGCAAAAATCTAGTCCCATGAAATAAAATAAACTTTGTGGAGAAGAGGTGAAAGATACTACGGTCACATACATTTCTAAAGTACTAAGCAAAAAAAAAAAAAGCAAGTTTATTTAGAACAGGACTTCTCAGGGCCTTTAGTAGACCATTATATGAGAGATCTTCAACAGTTTTTATTTTGATTCTCTTTACAGTCTCACAAAATAGAGCTGCTGCTTATGAGTTTGGAACAGGTAACACCATTACCCATCAAAACAGGGAAAACACAGGGCTGATAATCGGCAGAGACACCAGAGAGATCCAGGTCTCTTGAATCGTAGCCCTCATGTTTTTCCACAAAATTTTTATGTCCCACTTAATTTGTATAAGAAATCCTTCAGGCTCTTCTGCAAATTTAGCTTCAAATTTCTGTTTTCAGATCTAGTTTCTGATTGGGAAGAAATCTTATAACTAAAGAATGACTTCAAGATGAACTCCAGTTGAGTAATTTGAGCTAGGTTGCATGTTTTGAATATTAATACCAAGAAGGGTTCTATTTATTTAGTTGGACAAAAATAGTAATCCAGGGACCAGCAGATAGCATAACAATTATGTTGCTGGACTCACATAGTTGGCCATGGTTCAAGTCCCAGACCCAGCGGCTTAAAACTCATGCCGGGCACAAGTCCATGCATGCCCGAGATCCCCAGAAGAGAACAGAGGAGAAGGGATTGTGGTGTGGCTATCCCCAAAAGGGTGATTTCTCTCTTTCTGTCTCTCTGCCTCTCTCTTTCTCTCCAGTGAACACACATGCCCTACAGCAAAAAATCTCTCTAAAAAAAAAATTAGTAATCCAATGTTCTCTACAAAAAGTGGCCCAAGTAACTTTAAAAGCTACTCTAAAGGGGCAGAGAGCTGTGGGAAATTACTAAATAGCACTGAAAGCAGTACTTTAAAAGTTAAAAATTTAGTAATATGGGTAGCAGAAAGCTGTGATGTAAAAGAACCAGGACACAGCCCTGAATAAGTCCCAGAATTTGTAAAGTAGACAAATTACAAGCTCAAGTATTGGGTATTACTTTTTAAAAAATATTCATACTGAACCCCCTTGAGGGCAGGTGGTCTCTTCAACATGGCTTTGCAGTCCCATGAGACACCTGCTATTGACCAGGTGGCCTAGGCATGGTGTGAGCTCCTTTGCTGTCTCAGGGCTCCTGAAACCCAGTGCCCTCCACAGACATCCTAGCATTCAAGAGATGCCTCGAGGATGTACTGATCATGGTATTTCTCTGGGCCCAGCCTTGTAGAACAATCAGTAGCAAACTGAACTGCTATTCTGGGAGTCATGACCAACTGTGGGTTTGAATCCCTGAGTTGGCCAGGATTCTGACAAACTGAAAACTGGATGAAGGGAATTGTGGCATGAAGAGATCCTGTCAAGGGTGCTTTTCTCTCTCTTTCTCTTCTCTCTCTCTCTCATGTGCACGCACTCTCTAACATGAATGTATATAAATAAATAGGTACATTTCTCTGACCTGGTACTGCTTTATGCTTCTTGCAGGAGTGGAAAAGGTACAGCATTCCTGAAGGGCACATTGGCAGTTTTATTCATTCGTGTGTCTGTTAAGGGGTATCATGCTACCTCTCCATGTCAGGGGCTCTTCCAGGGGCCAGTCGTACAATCGTGAGTGAAGCAGACACAACCTCGGCCCTTTTGGAGCCAACAACCTAGAGTGTATGGGAAACAGGAGGTTTGGAGGAAGAGGGGAGATAAGTTACTTTGGGAGAAAAATTAAATTAATTAAAGGGTAATTATTAAGTATAAGGTGAAAATACTGTGGAGAAAAAACTTAAGCAGTAATGGGGAAAGAAAAGAGAGGTGAGTTATCATTTTAAATAAGATGGTCAGGGATCTTATAGATAAGGTAACATCTTTCTTTTTTAAAAAATACACTTATTTATTTATTTAATTCTATTTGTTATTAATATTTATTTAATTTGACAGAGAGAGAGAGATAAAGGGAAAATGAGAAAGCAATCCACAAGATCAGGGATTCAAACCATGGTTGGCCATGGGGGAATCCAGGGCCTTTAACCACTATGCCACCTGCTGGCCCTGGATAAAGTGACAGCTTAATTTTATGTTTCAAAGTTTATAACTAAAGGGGCCAGCAGATGGCACGGTGCTCATGGTGTTGGACTCCCACATGGCCGATCATGGTCCTAGTGGAACTGGTGGCTTGCTTTCTTACTTTCTCTCTTTCTCTCTCTGAAAAGCACACATGGCTATAGCAAATTTTTAAAATAATCAGGAAAAATAATAATAAATGAGTTAAATAAACATAATTTTTTTAGAAAAGTTTATAACTACAAAAAAAGAAAAAGCTGCATGGAATGCAATAAAGTGCTACTTGTGATTGTCTTTATAAGATATGATTTGGGGTAGTATTTTTGTGTGCTGTGTTTTATATGTGTGCTTGTGTGTTTTTAATTAACTGGAATTTTTAAGAGTAGGCTAAGGCACCTCTAACTTTTAAAAGATCTCAAGCTAGTAAGCAAATGCACTCAAGGGCAAAAACCTAAAAAAAGAAAAAAGAAAGAAAACCACAAGCAATTCCAATGCATGATCAAATATGAAACTGTTTCTTTCCACCTTCCCTTTTAGCTGCCATGCTCAAAAAGACCTTGGTATTTATGGGCATAATGACTTCAATATTTTAAGTTTTTGTTTCTGACCTCCCTCTCTCTTTTTTTCAGAGAAATTTTTACTATAGGGTTTGTGCACTCGCCAGAGAGACAAAGGGATAGAAAGTGAGAAATTACCCGTCCCCCAGGGGGGATGGCCATGCAGCATTATCTTCTCCTCCATTCTCCTCTCGGGATCTTGGGCATGCATGCGCGTGTGCCCAGCAGGAGTTTCAAGCCACTAGGTCCAGAACTCGAACTGTGGGTGGCCATGCGGGAGTCCAGTGACATGTCTGCTATGCCATCTACTAGTCCCTACCTATGGCTTTTTAAGCACTGCACATAGAACAAAACAGAACCTTCCCTTTAATGAATTCATATCAGTTATGAATCACAAGTTATGAGCAGCCAAAAGTCACCTTAAGTAATCAAATGAGTATTTTATTGAAATGTTTTAGAGTAGCCCCCTAATCTTGAAACTGCAAAGACTATGCAGTTCCAAGGTTCTATGTAGAAGGCAGGAATGGAGTATCTACCTATTCAGGGTACCTTCAGGAGGATAAATCAGCCCAGTAGCTATATGGGTTGCTTTGAATAGCCCCATTCTTACAAGAAGGTGACTAACCTGGTTTGGACCATAGACAACTTTGTCCAAAGGAGGGGAGAACACCTTAAGTGATGGCTGCTCTGGAACTGATTACATCTTGGGACGGGCAGTTTTCTGAAGAGAAAGCACAGTGCTTCTTCCAGAAGAGAGCAGGTAAATGCTGTCTGTATGTGTGAAAACACAGAAGTCCAGTCCAAGCATTAGTGATTATTTTTGAACATCAATTACAGCTGTCAGGTATAATTCAGTGATGTTCTTAGAACCTTCCTCATGTGTTCAAAGCTAATTTCCCCTCTTTATTTAATGATCTTAGACTTCTGCATTTCACACGTGCTAATTTTCACAATTCCCTTTTGTCTCTCCTTTTAAAATGATGATGTGTTTCTTGCTACATTCAGTTTACCTACCTTTGGCAATCTCCATCCCTTTTCCTCCTCTGCTGGGCTGTGAACTAGGAAACAAAAAAAAAAACAATCTTGTTAGATGTCTGTGTATAATGGGACTGTAAGTCAGTATGGGTTTTATGAGTAAAATGCACATAGACTTAGTGTCCTCTCTATTGATTGCTCAGAGATTTTTTTTGGTTAATGTTTAGTTGTTTGGGTAATTAGCCAGTGACTACATGAGGAATTTCTCTGTAGGTGATGTGCCACCAATTACCAAGGGTCTTCCAAAAGTTCATGGAAATGCATATTATGAAAAAAACTATGCATGGATTTCAAAAAAATTTGCACCCAAATAAACTCATACATTAACTCCATTTTTCCATGAGCTTTTTGAAGTCCCCTTATATAAGAAACACAATATTCTTTTGTAATTATTTTTATTTTGTCTTCACCATATCATTGAACTGAAAAAGATGACAAATATTTGCTCAGTTTTATAGGTATAAAAATGGAGCCACGGAGAGCTTAAGTACATTGATGAAAAGGCTAGTGCTAAGCCCCAGGTGCCCTGGTTTCCATTCTAGAAGTTAATAGATTCAGTCGTGTCAATATCAGGAGATCTACAGGATCTCATAGGTCAGAGGCAGCTTAAAGCTCAAGGGATCAGTATGGGATCCCACAGTGTATGATACAGACAGAAAAGCATAGGGAAAATTCCACGTGTCTGTTACACACACAACTCTAATAAAAATGCCCATGGATGGGAATGAACATTAATTTCTCTCTTCATTCATTTTTAGCAACACTTGATGAAGATACTGAAAACATGTTTATCAGTCTGCAGGTGATGCAAAACTGGAAAAGATAACTAATATATTGAATAATAGAACCAAGATTCTGGATGGAACTATTGGCTGAAATTTAACCATGGTGAGATTTAACATGGATTTTTAAATTTCTTACATTGACAAGTAAAATTCAAATTTACAAACGTGGTATAGATGAAGTCTGGCCAGACAATAGTGAAATGGGTTTTGATTTACTGTAAATAGAAAAATAATAACATACTTATCGGCCCAAACTAGGCGGTACTGTTGGTAGTAGGCTGCACTGCAGTGCTAAAAGCCACACTACCAACCACAGGTTCACATACCCAGCCCAGCCAGTGTGAAATATGCTGAGAGTGTGGGTGCACATTCAGCATCCTGAGAAGCTGGAGGACAAGAAGAAGGAGATTGCAGTGTGACAATACCCTGTCAAGGGCATCTCTCTCTCTCTCTCTCTCTCTCTCTCCTTCACTCTGTATGTACATACATGCATACTCTATCAAGAATAAAAAAATTAAACTTAAAAAAAATTTACATACATTGAGCATGATGCCAGGCTGCAAACTTTATATGTATTATGTCAATTCTCATATTGACACAATTTTCAAAAGTGAGCATTATCATCCTCATCCTCTTATTACAAGTGAAAAAAAAAAAAAAACCTCATAATTTGAGAAATTAAGTAAAATGCCCAGAGTTTGACAGCTAACCTGTCTTGAAACTAGGGATTAAGTCTACCTAGATTCTGGGGTCAGAGAGCAGCACAGTGGTAAAACGTGTTGCTCTGTGAGGCAATCCCACACAGGACGGTTCTTATTTCAAACCCAGAGACTTCCCCCCATGTGCGAAGCACATACTTGCCCATGATCTGGGACTGACTGGAGACTGGGGGTGGATCATGGAGTCAAGATTTATAGTAGATGCTCCCTATGTCTCTCTCATTCATGGGAGAAAGAAACTAAAAAAAAAAAAAAAAAAAACCCTAAGTCCATATCTTAGCCAATATGCTGCTGTTATTGTTTTAAAATAAATGCCATTAATGATAGACTCAAGGAAGTCTCTTTGGCAATGCTCATATCTCAATTGGAGTATTATGTGAAGTTTCTCAGGATCAATACTATCCGTGTGTGTGTGTGTGTGTGTGTGTGTGTATGTGTATATATATATATATATA